GGCCCCAGCCCCCGGCTCCGAGAGCCCCCGGGGGCCGCGGTGCAGCGGGAGCGAAGCTGCGCCTGCCGGGTCTCTCTGAACGTGCCATTCCGGTCATTTCACACGCACGGGAAGCAGAGAAGAGTGCTTGTTTGCGACAGGGGCGACTTCCGCTTCGCAGCCCCCTCCCCGAGCTCCAGCTGCTCTGGATCCTGGGACGCCCCCCGCCCTGAACGTCCAGTCGGACGCTGCAAGACCGGATTCAGCTCATCGGCACGGAGGGAGCCGGCACTCCCCTCCTTCCCAGCCCCTGTCCAGTCCTAAATTCACAGCACAGCCCTGGACTCCTGCTTCTCTGGTGATCAGGTCCCCACCCACTCCCACCGCCATCGTTAGCCACCAGCAGAATCTCCTATGCTTCCCAAGTGGTCTCTAGAGTGACATTTCTTCCTGGTCTTTTTTGGTGACTTCGGCCAATGAACGTGACGAGCAGCGAAGTCTTCAGGATGGTTTCCTTCACAGAAATGCGTGCTGTGATTAAAATATGAATTAGGTGCACTTGTCAGAGATTTCGGTTTACAGGAACAGTATGCGTATTAATAAAGAGAAGCGCATCCCCCCATCCTTGTGCTCCGAGAAGCTATAAAAATGCCGTATCTTAAGATAAAAAGCAGATCCAAAATACCGCATCATGCTGATTCAATATTTAAAAATCCCTGGCTTTCTAAAAAGTCTCTTAGAAGCAGGGAACCCCTGAAGACATCACAGCAAATGCACTGCCAAATTCAGGCTAAGCAGCTGCGTTAGGAATCTGACAGCCAAAACTGCACAGCTGTAGCCAGAAACTCGAACTTGAAACACACACACGACGCCTACTTGGGGCAGGCTGAGGCAATGCAGCCTAGAAAGCTCTGCCACGGAACACAGAATGGAACACATAAGCAGCTTAATTTCTTAAAGATGATGATGCTTTCAGCCAACTGTTTGCAAAAGTTTTAATAGTTCAAAATAATTTTATTTGATTTTTTTACAAAGCGCGAGTACAGGAGCTGTTCAAAATCATGTGTTCAATCGAAACGAAAGGGGACCTGTACCGACTGCTCAGGCTGTCCGGGTGTCTGAGAGACTGAAATCTGTGAGGCGATTCGAACAGACTGCCTTTTACAAAAATAGTAGTCTTTTAGAGGAGAACACTGCCTCACTCTGGAAATGCAGGAAAGCCAGCATTCTTCAGGTTCAAGACATTAATCTTAAATAGCAGCTGAATGTGGCCTCATGGCAAAGCACAGAGACCTTCTTTTCCTTGAAAAGGAATTTCGAAATTGTCCTTTCCCCCCAGTGTCCGAAAATTTCTTAAGGGGATGTTTTCCCGTATTTCAGCAATCTCCGACACGCTGAGGAAAGGAGGCTGCCCGCCAGGGTGTAGAGTCCCGGGTAGCCCTTGAGTCTGTCACTCCACAGCAAAGCCGCATGTCTCCTCGATGGCCGTGAGCAGCTTCTCACACAGCTTTTCGTAGCTCTCGTACGGGGGGATGTCTATGCGGTTGAAGCTGTGAACAAGGAAGTCGGGTTTTACACAGTTCGTTCCCGGAACGCCAGGCGGTTCTCTAAAGCAACGGCGGCCACACTGGGGCTTTCCTGCACGTTTCTGAATAACCTCAATTCTGACACCACTTAAAAGAGGTGCTTATCCTTCCTTTTGAAGGTCCACCTGGGGAGACAGAGGCAAGAGGACTGCCTGAGCCCAGGGGTCTGAGCCCCGCCTGGGCACCTTGGTGGGACCTTACCTCTGCGCAAAATACAAAACCTGGCTGGGCGTGGTGGTGCCGGCCTGCAGTTGCAGCAACTGGGAAAGCTGAGGCGGGAGGATCGCCTGAGCCCAGCCGGCCACGGACGTGGTGACCAGGAGCGTGCACCCCCGCGCTCCAGCCTGGGTGACAGAGCGAGACTCCCACCCAGGAAAGAGGGTGGAAGGGGTCAGGTCGCCTGGAGCCAAAGCCGCGCCCAGGCACGGGGCTGCTCCGCGCGCCTTACCAGGTGTGGGCCTTGGGCAGGTTGTTG